AGAAGCAGTGTAGGAAAGACTTAAGAGATAGAATTGAACAGATAAATGTGGAAACAAGAAAATCCACTTCACTGGAACATTCCATGATTTTACAAAGATGTCATGGAGAGACACATTGCTAACACAGCAAGTCATGCTGTCTTGGAAACCGGAAAAGACTCAAATAGACTAAAGTAAGGAAAACTAATTTTAAAAGGATGCATTTATATAGAATATGGAGGCCTTAAAGAGGAATAGAAAGTCATTTTCATAGCAACAGTTTTGTATTATTTCTACCTAAAGACTTTTAAAACATAGTGGCACAATTTAGAACTCCACAGAGAAGACTAATGTGAAAAGTAAATATTAGTCTGGGTATTTTTCTGTTTCTTAATTAAAGAAAAATTCTGATCTGTCTAAAAGGATCATTGTTTTGTGATTCATCCTTTCTGTTCTGTATCTTTGGAACAAAAATAGTCTATTTTACTGAAGCTATTTATTTTTAAAAATATTTCTATTTAAAATATTTATGTCTTACAAGCTATCATTTTAGCTGTGAAACATGTTAAAAAGCTTTTCTGCTTCCATTTCCCCCTTTACTTTCACCTTCTATTTTAGACCCTTCAGTCAGGGAAGCAAAACCATTACGAATACTGTGGAATAAGGATTTTTCTTATAGGAATAAATCAGAACGTGATTTAAGGAAGAACAGAAGGAGGGGTTGGAGGGTCAGAGAACAGGCTTCAGAAGTTCTGGTCTAGGTGGACAAAGGGGTCTTTCCTGGGAGCCTGAGAACCCAGCCACCTCCAACTCAGGGTGAGCACAGGAAGAGATTGTGTCTCCGCACACTGGTGGTGGATGTGGATGGGCTGGTGAGGTGGTTGGGGGAGAGTCGGGAGGAGCCAGGGGGCACTGGTACCTCTGCCTCCAGCCTACAGACTAGTACTTTCACCGTCCAGTCTGTCCAGTTTCTCTTTGATAACTAACTTGCAGCCCACACTGGAAGGAGAATCCATGTAGATGTGACTTCCCTGAGCCAAGCTGACACTATAAAATCACCACGTACCTTCTATCTGTTTATTAGATTAGAACCAGAGGAATGTTTCTAGAGCATGAGTCTGAAGTCATGACCCTTCTGAAAAGCCCTTTAATAACTTCACGTAGATCCATTCTAAAGTGATATCACTTAAAACAAACACCCAGTTGGGGCTCCCAAATACCTCTCCCTTTCTATGACTCTCTGCTCTGGTTCTCACCCTCCCTGGCTGATGTCACTTCACACGGGGACATCATTTTTTGAGCCTCTGCAAACTAGATTAAGTGCTTCTCTTGTGCATTCCCATGGGGCCTTTCACTTGCAACCCTGTTACTGCCCTTATTAGCCCATTTTGTAACTGTCTGGCCCACTATGAGTGCCATGAGGGGAGTATGTGTAAGACACTGCAGGACTCTTGTACTTTAAAGAGCTATCATTTAATGAGAAAATGGGGCGTGTGCATCAAAAAATTAGTATTGCTACTGTAACAGGGCAAAGATAAAGATGCCACAAAAATAAACTCTGATTTGGGTCATGGGGTTATTTCATGGTCAGGTGACAGTTTTGAATTCATAAAGAGTGGAGAAGAATTTGCCTCCTAGAGAAAGGAAGAGGGTGAGGGATGAAGGAGGAATAAAAAGAAATGCCAGGCAGAGAGAACAGCAGGGATTAAGGTGACAGCAGGTCCTGGAGCTGTGAGAGGTACAGGAGAGAGGGTGTGGCGATAGGCCAGTGGCCAGATGCAGAAGGGAAGTGTGTTAGGCCAAGTAACTAGGCTTCCAGTACAGTGATCTCATGGGCATCAGAGAGCTGGGCTTGCACAAAGGGACAGAGAGTGTCTATGCAAAGGGTCCATTTTCAGAACAGATGTCTGAAGGAGAACTAGGAACACCTGTGACCGGGCCCATGTTGAAGGGTGACTAGCACAGAACTGAGATTTGTAGCGTAAAAGAGAAGGTGTTTGGGAGCAGTAAGGTATGGGAGAAGGCTTTAGGCAGGAAGGTGAGGGAGATGATGGGTTTGGCGCTGGAGATATCAGGAGGGAAAGAGCTTGTGGAGATGGAGCTTTCAACTGCACATCTGTTACCACATGCCCGGCACCAAGCAGGCTTAGCAGTATCGGGCTGTGGGGTTTATGCCACAGAATCAGTGGATCTGTTTATAGGGAGTAGTAGGGTTACTGATGCTTAGGAAAAAGTAGAAATGCAATAGAGATCTGGATTGAAACCTTTACCTTTGTATCTGGACTGTGATTTGGGGTTATGTTCTTAGCCCAGATTCTGTTGGAGACTAGGAAACTTGAAAAATTCTCTCCTGGGTTTTCCAGGGATGAGGCAGGTGGGGTGGAGGGTAGGATGAAAGGACAGTTGGGTCATGTCCTTTGTTGTGGAAGGCAGGAGCACATAACAATGGAACTTTGTGCTTAGTAGGGCTCTTGACACTTGGTAGGTGCTCAAGGGCTATTAGGTAAATGTGCTAAGTAATGAAGTTATTACCAAGAAGTGGTTAAAAATGGGGCCTGGACCAAAAGACAGGAGGAACTAGCCATCTGGTAGAAGGGTCCAAAATCCTTATCAGAGCAATAACACTTTCATTTTTAATGTCCAGGAGCAGAGCCTCCCTGACCACTGGAGCTGGTATTTTTTCGACTATTTTTATTCAGGATGGCCTCACCTGACATGGATCCTAGATTAAATTATCAAACTAGATGTGACCTGCACCCTGCGCTCTGTCTGTAACAATTACAGGGCAGTGTAATTGTTTATCTGAATGTCTGAATCCAGAAGATAATAGTTTTGTTTTTTTTTTTTAACTTTAATTCACTTGAGATTTAGAGGAACATCATTATATTTGTTAAAATATATGGGAATTGAGTTATACCCATGCCTTGGTAAATCCAGTATTACTGATCATTCATTATTAATTTGGCCTGAAGTTCTTAATCCTAACTAACAATCCCTTTTAACACCAAACTATACTCTTCAGCTTCCTCTACATAATGCAGAGTCTTTCACATTGGTTGATCATTTCAAACCCGGAGTCCCTGGAATGTGTTTACCTCTAGTGAGCAGTCCTTCCCAGGACACAGACTCTAGCTATGTCCTGGTGTGTCCCCATGCTCCACTGGCTCAGCCAAGTGGTATTGATTTTGTTTTTCATCTCTTTGATTAGGGATTTTCTACCCCTGACCCTCACCCCTTATCTTTCCAAAAAATCTCTCTGCATAGCGAAAAGATAAACTACGGGAACATATGCAGAGGATGCACAATCCTGAGAGGGAAGCCAAGAAAGCCGACCGCATCAGCCGCTCCAAGACCTTCAAGCCTCGAATCACGTCCACCGACTACGACAGCTTCACGTTCAAGTGCCGCCTGTGCATGATGGGCTTCCGGAGGCGGGGCATGCTGGTCAGTGCGAGTGGCTGCCTGCTGTCTCCCCGGTCCCTCAACACACACACACACACACACACACACACACACACACACACACA